TACCACAAAACAAACAGTAGGAAATATCTAAAATTTGATAGAGTTCTTCTAGCTACACAAGACAGGGCACATTTAAACTTGGTACAAAATCTCAGACGAAGACTTTGCACAATTACTATAGTTCATCCAGAGAACTTATGTCGAAATAAACGTCTCATATGGATTTTTTTCTTATAAGCTTTCTGTCAAAATTCTTCCGAATATATTTTATGCTAAGACATATTTCATTTTGTACAAGATTAGCTTTTAAGCCAACTCGACTTAATTTATGTGACATATATAAGATAACGTGCCGCTACATTCTCTTTTGTTATTCTTAAACTCTTTATTTGATATATTATTTGAAATAATAGATGGCTAAAAACTTTATTTCATGTATGAAATATCTATTTGATTACAAAATTTATAAAACAACTTAATTATTATTAGTTCAATCGTAAATGGATTTCAGTGTCTATTTGTTGTATTTTATAGTTATGAGATAACCGTTCAAAGTCAATTATGCTTTTTAATCTGTCAACCATGTTCATATTTGCTTGTGGAATTTTAAGACATAGTAAATGTAGATTACAAGTATTTTTGATATTTTTCATTAAAATAAATCGTATAACATTTTCGAGTGAAACATCATTTGTAGAGCCTATCTCGAAATATTTCATTTGAGAACAAAGATCAAGAAGAAACTGAACTTGTGCTATGTCACTCATTTGTTTAAGATTGACTTTAATAATTTTGTTGTTATTTGATAATAAACGAAAATGTCTTGTTTCTTCAATAGATAAATATCTTGGTTGTGTCATTGCTAAAGATGATATCACTAATGAATCAAGATTAGGTAAACATCTAACTAAATCGATTAATGTGCCGATGAAAATCTCACGTGGCGTAATATTCAAATAAGTGATTTGTACCATAGCCAAAACTGGACGTATCATATCAAAGAGATTTTCATCAAACTCAGAATATGATAGACTTTTGATGACTAATTGATTAGTTTCTAAATGAATTTTAGAACATCCAAAAGCTTCTTGTTGATTAGTAATAATACTTGGCTCTATCATGTTTTTATTGATTTTGTTATTGAATGTTCTATTGTTTTCTTTCTTTTCATGACAATTGTGTTTTAGTGGTCTACAAAAAATGCATAGAAAAATCTTTGTTTTACAAAAATGATTTTTTTTAATCAACCTGTATGGAAAAATGGAATATACCAGAAAGTTACTTTCCCAAAAGTTTGTGTAAATATAAATTCTAAAGATCCATTGTCGTTTGAGCCAGAATAGTGAGTTGAATTCATTAAGTCTTTCATGATAAACACTAGTTTCAAAATCTTCATCAATAGGTTCTTCATAATTATTTAGATTCAAATGTATTTAAATGATGTAGATGTTGTGAAATAATTTGTTCCCATCGATAAGCATTCAAATAAGTAATATCTCTGAAAGTACTTATACGTAATAGTTCTAGTTGAGGTGATATATTAGTGAGAAACAATTTTATTTCATCAAAATCTGCGTAACATGCAGCTATCGATACAAAAGTCAGACTGAATATTGCGTTTATTGTATTTTTTACAATAGTTCTTTTCGTTTCATCTATATGTTTACAAGTTAGTCGATGAAGTTGAGGTGTATATGAAATTATAGCAATTAATTCATCAAGACTACAACAGTGATCAATAGCCATATATTTAATTGAACTAAATTGTTCTTTGGTTGCTATTGGTAAAGGAATAAACGATTCGAGCGAAAAAAATGACAATTTACTATAGTTTAGCATAGGAAGGTTAAAAATGATTTGATAAATATTGCCAATCTCTTTGAGATCATGATCATAATGAATTGTCAACGAGAAGAAACGAGGTAAAGATATTAAACTTATGAGAAGAGGTAAGGGTGAGCCATAAGTCTTGGTCGCTCTCAGGAAAATTGCTTTTTCTCCTTTATAACAAATTCAAGAAAGCTCAAACTTTGGTATATAATCCCTTATAACATGATGAATATTATCCTAAATTTTCACATGTCTATCCCTCCAAATAACGGAGATACATACATTAGCATTTTAGATCATTTTCTATGTCATAAAAACAACAAATCATCAAGGATTTCCATGGAAACATAAAGAAAATTGCATAAATAATGCTACTATAATAAATATATACTAGAAAAATAGTATGATTTATTATAATAGCATTATTTATGCAATTTTCTTCATGTTTCCATGAAAATCCTTGATTTGTTGTTTTTATGACATAGAAAATGATCTAAAATGCTAATATATGTATCTCCGTTATTTGTAGGGGTAGACATGTGAAAATTTAGGATAATATTCATCATGTTACAAGGGATTATATACCAAAGTTTGAGNAGAGATAAACAGGAAATTGAACTTGTTCCAAGTCATTCATTTGTTTAAGATTAACTTTAGTAATTTTGTTGTTATTTGATAAGAAACGAAACGTTCTTGCTTCTTCAACAGATAAACATCGTGGTTGTATCATTGTTAAAGATGATATTACTAATGAATCAAGATTAGGTAAACATTTGATCAGGTCAATTAATGTTCCAATGAAAATTTTATTGAGTATTATATTCAAACAAGTAATTTTTACCGTAGTTAAAATGGGACGTATTATGTCAAAAAAAGTTTCATCAAATTCAGAATATAAGAGATCAATAACGGTTAATTGATAAGTTTCAGAAAGAATTTTAGAAAAAGCGACAAACTCTTCTTGGCTAGGAATGACACTTCGTTGTATAATGTTTTGATTGATATTCTCATTGAAACTTTCATCGTTTTCCTTCTCTTCATGAGAATTGCCTCGTATTGGTCTATAAAAAAAATATAGACGAAACTTTGTTTTACAAATAGAATTCTTTGCAATAAACCTGTATGGAAAAATAGAACACACAATAACGTTATCGTTCCAAAAGTTTGTGTCAATATAAATTCTAAAAAACCATTCGCGTTTCATCCAAAATTGTGAGTTGAATTGATTTAGTCTTTCATGGTAAACACTTGCTTGGAAGTCTTCATCAATAGGTTGTTCATATTTAAAATCAAATACATTTAAATGAAGTAAATGTTGTGAAATTATTTGTTCCCATCGATTAGCATCCAGATAAGTCACATCTCTGAAAGTACTAATACGTAATACTTGTAACTGAGGTGATATATTGATGAGAAATAATTCTATTTCATCAAATTCCGCATAACAACTACCAATAGAAATACGAGTCAGGCTGAATATTGCGTTGAGTGCATTTGTTATGATGTTGTCGACCGATTCATTCACTTGTTTACAAGTTAGTCGATAGAGTTGAGGTGTGCATGAAAGTATAGCAATTAACATATCGAGACTACAACAATGATCAATAACGAGATATTTAATATCACTATATTGCTCTTTGATTGATATTGATGTTGGAAATAACGATTCAAGAGAAAAAAATGACAATTTATAGTACTTTAACATGGGTAAGTTAAAGATTATTTGATATATATTGTTAATCTCTAGAAGATCATCATCATAATTGATTGTTAATGAGAAGAGACGAGGGAGAGAGATCAAATTTATAAGAAGATGTATGAGTTGATTTGATTCAATGTTGCCTAACACCAGTGATTCAAGTTGAGCAAATGATGAATCGATATTAAATAGTGTAAAACCTGAATTATAGTCATCAAGGTTGGGCCATCTAAGTGAAATGATTCGATCTTTTTTCGAAGCAACAACACATGTAGAATAATACTGTAGGATAGGTTCTGGATGAAAACGAAGATCAATTTTTAGTTGAAGAGATGAGCAATTTAGTAAAGCTTCAAAACGACTATTCAGACTTGAAAATATTTTATGTATATCACAACCATCAAGATAATCGAAAATTTCATAGAATAGTTCATTTGATAAATTTTCGAAACGGTTAATTAGTTTTCTATAAAAGAGAAAAAAAAATCGAGTCAAAAAGTATACTTCATTCTTCTTACTTGTCATCATGTGTTGCTATTTAAATAAGGATTAATAAAAGTACATTATATTATCAGGTTAATATGTAGGTCTTACTTCGAAATTTCTTTTTTTCTTCTTCAGATGATTCAATATTACTCAGTCGTCTTTTAACTGCAAACATGTGTTTTTTGAAAAAAAAAATTTATCTGAAAGATAACTATTACTGATTGTGCCAAGTTCTTTTCTTTACAGAAATAATAATCATTTGTCATTATCTAGTTTGGCCAAGTTTTCCAGAATACTTTTATATGTAAGAAAAAAAGAAGTAACAGAAACTATGCATGTATTGCGTTTATGAAATAACTGTGAATGAAGTGTCGATTTTCATACTTTTGTTTCTTTTTTGTTCCTTCTTTTTGTCTATCGAATATTTGCAATGACTCAATTTCGACGTTTGATTTTCGAATATACAAGTCAAAGTTTTTGTTGACTCACTCGATTGTTGAAAAAAACTGCGACGTATTTATTAAAAATAAACCATTTATCTAGTTTTCAATGATATCTACTTCTTCTTTTTTTTTTGTATTCAATTTCGTCAATTATTATTCATTAAAAACAATTTATTCACAATATTATATAGTCTAATAGATTATCTCAGTTAAGAAGAAATTCATTGTTTGAATGAGTCAATTAAAATTAAACAATGACTTAGAAAACGTTAAACTATCTCATAGGAATTATCAATCATAATGTTCAGATTACATTAAGAAAATAGCTGTATAAGCAATAGAAGAAAAGATTCAATCATTTATAATAAGTTTATTCCTTAATCATCATTTTTTCTGAAAAATGAATCTTTTTTATTATACAAATGATTAATATTGTCATATCTTGTTGAATTCGATAATGAATAGAAAACTCACATATTGAAAGAGTTATTTTATCCAAAGAGTAAATGGAATAAGCGGAATAACAACTCAACTGACAGTAACGTGTTATCTCTATATATGCACACATAGTGTTAACTTGGGAAATTTTCAGATAAGACAAAGAAAGAAAACTTGCACATTTCCAAAATTAATATAAATGTAGAGAGAATATCCAAAATAGTGAATTTTTTCTATTTGGATATCCCTAAAAAACCCAGTTTGGTATGGTTTGATTTCGAAAAATTACAGTAGATATTATATAAACAAAAGATCTTATAGACTATTGATGGTAGATGAATAGTACTGAAAAGTTGATAAAGACTAACTTTGCTATAAAACATCAAAATGCGCTCAAAATTTGAATTTAATGATTTTTGAGGGTGGTCTTTTAATTACATGTAAAAAATCAAAAATTAAAAATTTTATCTGTGCCTTGGTCCCCGGCTCCTCTTATGGGTGCTCTATTAATGCATTTATTTCGTAAAAAAAAAATAATTTTTAATGAATATTCATCTACAAGTGGCGATGAAATATGATAGAATAACTGAACAGATGGAGAGGAAAAATAAATTATTGAGATAGAAAAAGCATGCATATATGTGTATCCACAATTATGATGTTTGGCAACAATACTGCGTTCCATTCCAACGTCATTAGCAACAAGCAAGCGTAAACTTAGTGAAATTGATCGGATTTTAGAAGCAAAAAAGACATCAAATCAATTCTGAATCATTTGATTCAGTTGCTTTTTTCTTGTACTGAAGAATTCATATGAAAGAAGTGTAACCATTGATCAAACTTCATTTTAGGATAATTTTTCAGAAGCTTATTATTCAAATCAAAAACATTATTTCTTCATTTGAGTGTCCTATATGAAATTAGTTATATTGAAAAATCTACCATCAGGTTAAAAGAACAACAGGGTTTGTTCGAGAAATTTTATTCACATTGTTTTATGTCACAAAAAAAGAAATCGAAATAAATTTATTTATTAGTTCATGGAGAATGAATAAGATATATTATGATATTCTCACCAGTGAAATTATAGCAGACGAATATAATTTAAATTGATTTCAAGTGTCTTAATACGATACAAAAAAATTTTATTCAAACTTTTTCTCAACTTCAAAAAAATAAATTCCAAAGCAAATGATCTTAGAAAAGATTTTGATTTCCATCTCTTATTATCATGATATTCAACATAAAATATTTTGGATGAAGATCGATTAACATCAATGACTCATAATATCAATCACTAAAATACAACAATGATTGAAAATTCTCACAGTAAAAATACATTAAAAAGAAAAAAAGGAGAAAGACCTTTGCAACGTGCATAGAATAAATTTGTGATTGGTAGAGTAATGAGTCATAACAAATGAAGCATTAAGCAATAGTAGGTAAATATAGAACACATGTGAGTATTGAAAGAAAAAATGCATCATTAAAAGGCATATAGTCATATTTCACATCAATTTGACAAACACAACAAACTATTTTTGCTAAAGTAAGCTGCTTTTGTGAAAAACGATCTGAAAAAAATGTTGAAGTATATAGGAAAAGCTTTGACTCTTCTTCTCATACCCCATCAATAGATCATACATCAATAACATCTCGATTTAATATATGAATTACTTCCTTATTGCATTTCTGAAGAGAATGATGAAGAAATGGGTTCCGAAATAGTATAGAATAAAATAAACTTCATTTGATTAGGAATAGTAACTACATCGCATTTCACATTTTAATCTGACAGAGAATGCGTTAGCTATTTTTGTTCTAGATTAAAATTCATTGTCTAAAGATTCAAGGTTATCTTCGCTACTTAGAAAATTCATTCTTTTCGAAAAATAATTCAGTTCAACCTATAGATAATATCTTTTCTTTGGTTCAAAGACCTATGTGAGAGTAAGATTTTATCCGACCAAATTGTTTATAGTTGACTCGTGTGTTTGAGAAAAGCAAGATTTAGTATTGTGAAGTAACATTCTTTTTGCTGACATTAGCATTATATTTACTAAAATGATCATAAAAAATAAGCAGAAGCGAATTTCAAAATTCTGTCTGATGAAAAATTACGCACAAATATTGCCTTCAATTTGAAACTATTCCAGACTCTGTATCTTTTGTAGTAACGAAGTTATAACGATTCTACAGAAAGCCAAATATGAACGATGAATAAGCCAGAAGTTGATTCCGGTTTGGCATATTAGACTGAAATTCTTGCCTGAAGGGTTTCTCATTAGATTCACACATTCTTGAAAATTTCAGTCGAAATAGACCATTCTAAGTGGAAAATCTAAAGTGAGAGAAAGGGATCCTTAGAGACTCAGAATATTCTTAGTTCATAATTTAAGTATGCATGTTGTTGTTATTTTTATTAAAATAACTATTTTTAGTATCTTTCTAAATAAAGCAAAAATAAGAAATTTAGATATTTATCAAGCACTATTCTAAACACAATTTTAAATATCATCAATACTCAAGAACATTCGTCAATAATTATTTTAAGAACCAAGAAAAAATCTATTTTTGTTTTAACACAAATTATAGACAGTAACACTTTTAAATCTTGAGCTATTCTCATAAAGGAAAAAGTTCACAAGTAATACAATGAAAATAAACTTGTATGAAATCAATATTGATGATTATTCAACAGTCGCTAAGTTCATTAACCAGTTTCTTCATAATTTTATTCATTCCTACATATTACGTAGCAATCAATTGTAATTCATTTATCAGATAACACCTCCTCCTATGGGTCATAGTTTGAAAGAACTAAAAACTAAAAAAAATTGCGCTCTTCCTAGTTTTAAATGTCTTTGGGTATTATAGATTATAGGGAGAACGTAAGTTCCACTTTTCAGCCCCAAAGAGGCTACGCTAACAAGGTTTTTTTACAAAATGGTTGTAACATTCAAGATTGTTACTTTTTTTTAGACCATTCGGTGAAAAATTTATTTAATAGCATCAACACAATGCTTGATGATAGCTCTGTTGATTCAAAGGTTACACTACCTAGTGCACCAAATGTTACTTGGCAACATATATGGTCCTTTAGTGAAACACAAGATGCTCTCTCTGATTCGCTATTTGTTGCCATTCCTAATGAAATTCTATTACGTATCTTTCAAGTCCTATCTGTAGGAGATCTATGTAATGTTTCATTAGTTTGTCGATCATTCAAAATGATCGCCGATCAAGATGAAATATGGAAATCAAAATGCAATAGTAAGTAATGTGTTGCAAGTTTCTTATTCTATATAAATGTTAATAATGGATATTTTATTGATTAGCATCAATAAAACTATTATCCAAATCATTCAAACAAATTTATATGGATTGGATGCATGAAAAATGTTTACGCAATATAAAGCTACGAAGTAGGACTGCATCTCACAGAACTGCATGCATCATGATTCCACCTCCCATATTTCCTATTCGACCGACAGGAAAACATAATTTTGAATGCATTGGTGGATTCAATCAGCATCCAAATTCATCATCAACTATGTAAGATAAAAACTTCTTTGTTGACACGACTATTTTGTTGAAATATCTATTGAATGAGTTTTTAATATTAATATATTTTACACTTATCAAAAGTATACGAAATAGAAATTGGCGTCTCTCCCTCACACAGAGACCATAATAGACGTTGTTGATATATGAAGAAAGGGAGTATATCACTAACATCTTATTAGAATATATGAACTACTTTCTTATTACAATTCTAGAGAATGATGAAGCAATGTATCACAAAAATAGATCGAATGAAGCAATTTTCATATGATTAGCAACAACAGCTACATTCTATTTCACATTTTCATTCTATAAAGATTGCGCTAACAGATTCTTGTCTAATTAACAAAATTTTTCATATAAGAAAGCGTTTAGTAGGTTGTCACATCGATTTTGATTTGACATAGATTCTAATCGAGAAAGAAAATCTTCTAATCGTCAAATGATGATGTTTTGTTGTCCTTGTAGGGCAATTAAACTATCGGTCAACATTGATGATACAGCTCGTGAACTTATAAAACTATTAGAAAAAGCATCTAAATTTCAAGCACAATGGCAACAATCATCTATTTTGAAACAAATGATAATAAGATATTATCGTTTTATGCAATTAAAAGCATCTCATCCAACTAATCTTCTATTAATTCCTACTTTGGATATTGAAATTGTTTGGCAAACTCATTTACTTCGACCTGAAATCTATCAAGCTGATTGTATTCGTTTATTTCGTCGAGTTATTGATCATAAATTGTTATCTAATGAGATCGAAGAATTTTTCAAAGAACAAGCAGTTCGAGATACTTGCCAATTATATGAACAAAGATTCGGTGAAAAATATTGTCTATTATCATCAATCGATGAGAGAAATCAATTTGGATCAAATGTTTCTCATTATAGTTTCAATTCATCTCGTCCTGATAAAACGTATTATTCTTATTGGGATAAAACAGATTTTGAGTTTTCATGTTGCTCACCAAAAGATTATGAAAATCCTTTCTCATTTACAGAAGGTGATATTATCTTAGATATGAATTGGCTTGATATGTGTCAAAAATTTATGACAGATACGCTAAAAAAAGTCTCTGTTACAAATTATTATCGGAATCAATTGATAAGATTCAATCTTGGACAAGGGGCAATGAAACGATTAAAAAAATCTTATGAACGATTTTTATACATGGCAGCTAAATATCCACTTAAAGATCGGAATGGTTTTGTACCTCCAACATATGCAGTAAAATAGTTTTCATTATAAAGGAAAGGTGATTATTTAGTTAATTGTATCATTTATTTTTAGATTGATATCATGTGGCATTCTCATATGCAAGAACCATTGAATTATGCAGCTGATTGTCTTCGTCTTGTTGGCTATGTTATTTTTCATGATCCATGGCCAATAATCGAGGATAATAATATGAAGAAATCATGTGATAAAATAGATGATATTTGGAAGGAAGAATTTGATAATGATATAACAACAGATCATCTTTACAACACAGTTGATCAGGTAGTTGATTGGTCTGACGAAGACACTTAATATATATTGAATGAAAATAAACATTTTATCAAATAATCAAGAACGGATTTCTATCTTATATAAATTCTTTTGCGATGTGTTTGACATCTTTTTTTTTCTTCTGAATCTTATCAAATCAACATTTATTGTCACAACTATTCTTGCATTATTTCTATCTTTTATTTTAAATATTAATATTTAAGAATAAAGCAAACATATATATAGTTCAAAATATACAACTTATTTTCTGGTTTCGTTGTATTTATCGTAGATGATATGCTGTTGTTCAGTTATTATTAAATTTGATTAATATCTTTTTGACAATGAAATTTAACTTGAAAGAAAAACGAAATGTACATAACCGTACGAAAATATCTATTGCTCAGTTGGAAGTAATTCATTGATGTTATCATTTTTCTAAACTGACGTGATATGACTCTAGCGTGGAACTGATCGTGTTTCATATTTGTTTCTTTGTGCTCATTCGAAAAATAACCTACGTGATTAGCCATTCACAATAATCGATACATAAGTGGCGAGAGTCAAATTGCAATTGAGTCATTCGATGGCTGGTAAAAGTGAAAAAGAAATTAATTTATTTGAGTGTGATAAGCAATGTAAAAGTCTTTGGAACTCGAGATTTGTAGAACTATTGTGCGTCGCTCTTCAATTGAATTGAAAGAGCAATGATGAAATATAAATTAATTGTTTTTTTTATCTAATATATATCACGTAAAAATATTGTTTGAGACAATCTAAGAAGAAAAAACTTCGTATCAATGCACCTAACGTTATTTCTTGTCCAAGCCATAGACGAAATCTACACAAAATGATTCATGAAAGTTTGCAAATTGTTATCAATACCTCTGTGAGAGATGTTCATACGCAGGTTATTTTGCTGAATTTATCCCTTGAAATTATATATATATAGGATCAAATAAACAGAATTTTGTTCGTTCTTCATGATAAATATTGGCATTAATCGGATTGATATTTTCTTCTGTATGTAGAATATCAACATCATTCAAATCATTATGTTGTTGTTCATAACGAACATAAACATATTCATAATGTAAACATTTACGAATACACAAAATTTCCTGATCGTTACATTTCAATGAATGAAAATGATCAAGAATTATTGAATATAAAAGATATAAGCACAAATTTGTTTCTTATATCAAAAAATAAGTTATTTTAAATCAATAAACACAATTATAATTGAATTTTGACTATAAATATTCGAAACAATATCATGAGGTTGTCTGAAAAATAGACAGTTTATAATTAAAAGGAATTGAATATTCAGTTGAATTAAATCAACTTCGTCAACAACTTCATGAAATATCAAATCGAGTCAAAATTGAAGGAATCCGATATCTCAAAAATATTCCTGCTTAGAATTTTGATTTAGATGCAGAGATAAGTGTGTAAGATGCTATTTGAAATCTACTGCAGATACAAAATTCTAAGCATAATTCTTCAGTATCAAAAGATAAATATGCATAAAGCGTTATTTTTAAGTTGTGTTTGTCGAGAATTCTGTCCTCCGTCATTTCAAACTTTGCACAGAGACAGGTCTTAACAAGAGTAGTTTATTATGAGGATTTTCAACCTTTTTTTGATTGCTTCTATTTTGAAGTAGGAACATTGGAAGTTAAATATGTGTTTTTACCATAGTTGTATCTTAGAATAGGAAAAACGAAATGATCTGAAGCTTTCCGAATAAACTATTCTCGTTAAGACCTGTCTTTGAACAAAGTTTCAAGTCGAAATTCAAAATTCGAAAAATAGTTTTCTTCCTGTTCCTAATAGAGACCACCGCATTGAGCTGAATAATACCGTAAAAATGCGACACATCAGCAATGATAAACGAATCGTTCTCACTCAAAAACGATTTCAGATTTGGATATGTTGCCTCGTAAGTTTTGTGCTGAAACTCTTTCAAAGTGATATCATTATATGGCATATTTGTTTTGTATTAAATACGGTCATGACTGGATTTGACTTCGTTTACAGGGAAATGATACTATGATGCATCATATTTTGACCGATAGCATCATTGAAAATTTCAGCATCTTCCTTGTTTTTATGATAGTTATCTCGTATTGGCCTTAAGAAAGCAAAGATAAATATTAGTTTTACAAAAATAATTCTTTTCAATAAACCTGTATGGAAAAATGGAATATACGATTAAATTATTGCCACAAATGTTTGCGTCAATAGAAATTCTAAAGAACCATTTTCGATCTATCCAAAATAATGAGTTAAATCCATTAAGTTTTTCATGGTAAATACTTGCTTCGAAGTCTTTATCAATAGATTCTTCATATTTAAACTCGAATATATTTAAATAAAATAAATGTTTCGAAATTATTCGTTCCCATCGATTAGCATCCAAATAAGCCACATCTCTGAAAGTATTAATACGTAATACTTGTAATTGAAGTGATACCTTGCTGATAAACATTTCTAGTTCATCAAAATTTGCATAACATTTAGCGATGGAAATACGAGTCAGATTGAATATCATTTTAAGTGCATCGTTTACGATGTGTTTTTTCGATTCATCTACTTGTTTACAAGTTAGCCGACAGAGTTGAGGTGTGCATGAAAGTATAGTAATTATTTCATCGAGAGTACAACAATGATCAATAACCAGATATTTAATACTACTAAATTGCTCGTTAATAGCTATTGATAGAGCAATATGCCATTCAGGATCAAAAAATGAAAATTTATAATACTTTAACATGGGTAAGTTGAAAACTCTTTGATAAATATTGCTGACTTCTCTGCCATCTTTGCAATAAGAGATATACAATGAGGAGAGACGAGGTATAGAGATCAAACTTATGAGAAGAGGTATGAGTTCTTCTGATGTGATACTACCCAACGCTAGTGACTCAAGCCGACTAAATAATGAATCGACGTTAAATAGTGTTAATTATGAATTATCTACAAGAATATTGTCCAAGCTAAGTGAAATAATTCGATGTTTGTTCGGAAGGACAATGCAGACAGAACAATATTCTAGGATAGCTTCTGGTTCAAAACAAAGATCCATTCTTAGTTGATAAGATGAACATTTAATTAGAGTTTCAAAACGACTATTAAAATTTGAAAATGCTTTATATAGTTTATAACCGTCAAGATAATCGAAAATTTCATTGATAAGTTCATTGGATAAATTTTCAAAACAATTAATTAATTCTCTAAAAAATAGAAAAAAAATCGACTTACAATAGAAATTTCGTTCTTCTTACTTGTCATCATACGTTCCTATTTTAATAAAGATAAATAAACATATATATTCTATAATGACATCAGTATGTAGAACTTACTTCGAAATTTCTTTATTTGTTCTTCAAAAGACTTATTATCACACAGGCGTCGTTTAAATTGAAACATCTGTTCGAGAATAAAATTTTATCTGAAATAATTCTTAATTATATATAATTGAATAACTATGTTCGATGATACCAAATTGTCATTAATAAAGATATAATTATGATTTTCTATTGTCTTGTTTTGCTAATTTTTCGAGAATACTTTCATATGTAAGAAAAAAAGAAAAAGAATCAATACGTGCATTGTGTACTTGGTATAGTTATGAATGAAGTGCCAATTTTCATACTTGTTCTTTTTCTTTCGTTTTTTTTTCTATCGAGTATTTGTAATGACTCGTATACAAGATTGCTGCTGTTATGATGCAAGACAAAATGCTTATTACCACACTTGATAGTGGGAAAAAACTACAACGTAATTACTGAAACTAAACGCCTTTATCGGGTTTCAAATGATGTCTACTTTATTTTTATATTCGATTTCTTCAGTTATTATTTATTAAAAACAATACATTGACTATATTTCTTGTCTCTGTGCTCCTTTCAAATATGATTCATTGACATCCTTGCGATCTAAGAGAGTGACAAATTTTAGCTTCTATATGTATAGAGCTATAGAACAAGCAGAGTGTCACTGATGTTACGTGATAGAACGAAGAAAAAGATGACTTTCGTGGGACTCGAACCCATATCTTCTGCTATTCTAGCAGATCTCCTAAGCCAGTTAGACTAAAAGGAACATCTTAGTCTTTGTTTAGCGTCAGAGTGTATCATCACCGATGCTAACAATAGACTACGTACTTTCATTAAAAATTGGTATCCAATTGTGGGCATACAAAGAAGGTACGATGAATGACCATAGACTTATTATTGGAATTCTCTCAATCCTATATTCTATTTTAACTCATGATAGAAACATTCATTGGAAAGTTTTTCTCGTTTTTGTTGGGCAATTTTTTCTTATTGAGAAAAGTTTTGGAATGATAGTAATCTAGATNGTTAATATGTAGAACTTACTTCGATATTTCTTTGTTTTCTCTTTGGATGATTTATTATTGCTCTGTTGTTGTTTAACGTGAAACATATGTGTTTGAAAATTAAATTTTATCTGAAAGAATTCTTCATTTTATATAATATAATAACTATTTTCAATGGTATCAAATTGTTATCTAGAAAGAAATAACGATCATTTGCCATTATCTGATTTTGCTAAGGTTCCTTGCGTACGTTTGTATAGACAAAGGAAAAAAAAAGATAACCTATATCTGTATTGCTTATGTGACATACTTATAAATGATCCGTCAATTGTTATGTTTTTTCTTTTTTTTTCTTTCGAATATTCTCCATGATTCATCTACAATGCTTTTTTTTCGAGTATGTAAGGCAAAATCCTTATTCACCCCTTCACCGCTATTGACGTATATATACCGTCAAAGTAATCTTTATGGAAAAAATGACAACTACAATTCCTTAACTTTGTTTTCTTTGTATGCTCTGCGTCGACTCTAACATCCTGCACTGTCTTGAGCTCTCTCTACTGGTTCTGATGTTTCATATCGGCTATATTCCTCTGTGCCAGCTATGTTATTATTTTTTGCAAAAAGTTTATTATTTAGTTTTAAAAAAATTTAACGGTGAAGGGGTTAAATCATATCGTTTCTTTTATAGTAACTGCGACACAGGTACGCCACAGTGGTGATCATACGGTGACCTGTAATTGCAAAAAAAGATGGCATAGCTGCGATAGAAAAGTCGTATATATTTGCGGCTGGGTTTTTTCATCGAAACTACGTGCAACGATGTCGTTATTTTTTTTTGCAATTGCGAGTCACTGTGCGCTCGTAATCGAAAACATGGGTCTACGCTCCACAGCTCAGCAAGAATAAAGTGAGGATGCACAACAAATGTGGTCTGAAGTGTTCACATTATCTATCAGATTTAGTCTGAGACATCTTACACATCCGTCAAGAATGATCGGTTTTTCGAGGAATGCCCTTCAAGACGAGAAATAAAACGAGACAAAAGGAGAATTCGAACATTTCATCCGACAGCATTCGACACCAGGTAGGCGTTCTGATGGGAAACTATGTTGTGACGACAGACAAATATCGTCTCAAGCACTCTCAACAATAGACTGGTGCTCGTTCATTTTATATGTAATTGAAAATAATCGAAGAAAAGCATGTTGACTTGTCTAAAACATCGTCAACATATTTTACACATACATGTTTTTACATATTTCATGATATTTCGTGTGCAATTTTGCTGTATTGTTTACTTCGTAACACAAAGGATTTATCGATGAGCTCTCTGGAAGATAAGAGCTTGTATTTTTTTCTACTAAAATTAAAAAAATAATATTGAAATATCAGAACATACATGAAAATACAAAGTATTCTCATTGCTTTTCAACGAAAATTGTCTATTCATGATCTTTAAAATTTATTAGGCTGCAAAATGAACTACAGTAGAAATAATTTGGTTTAGAAACATTTCTAATGTTTTTATACTATAATTTCATTTTTAGTTTAAATACAAATTCCGGTGATTTATATTTAAGAATATGTAAATTACATCATTTCAGTTTATTTTTAAGTTTAAGTCATTTAACTAATTCGGTACTCTATGATAAAAATTTTTATTCATCGTGCAGTTTGAAAAATTGAGTAAAATTGTATTAAAAATCTAACATTCTTCCTTACACTTCTGTAATTTAAACTAGCCGGGACTCCATTAGAACATAAGACTGCAATTTATCGTATGAAGCGTCGTGAGTATTCTTCCGTTTTGTTTACCGCATTTGGAGGGAAGTAAGGGCGGTATTACTTGACTAGTCTTTTTCTTAAAAGGATAAGACACAACAAACAGGATAACCACCTTCGGTTAAGTAATCAGAACATGAGATGACGACTAAAAATGATTTCAGATTATTCATGTACGAGGATCTTTTGACAAAAAGACTGCATAAGACATGCCGTTACAACTAGAAAAACAACTAGTTCTTTTACCCATCCTTTGCTTGCCAGACTCTATAATTGGAAAAACCTTTGACACAATTATGAAAATAAACAACGCTATATTGATTTAAAACATATGACGATTGAAAAATTCTCACAAACGAAAATTCATTAAAAAGGAAAAAGAGAAGTGATCACATGATCCAATGCCATTCGTTAACTTTAATGATAAGTAAGTCATTATTTGAAAAAAATACCTAATATTTTTCAGTGAGATACGCATGATGTTGACTACAGTATATAATTTCTTTTCAGAATGCCTTAAATAGATAAGTTTGCATGTCTACTTGAAAAATCAAATCAGTACTTCAAGAGTCAATATTTGCACTGAATCCAGAGAGTGAAAGAAAATACAAAAAAAAATATCCAAGTAAAAGAAAAAATGAATGAACTTTTCTACACTTTAAACGGAAGTTTCGATCTGATATAAAATGATATTCTGTTTGTTACAATTGATATTTTGACTATCTAACATGCATGACAGGACTCACGAGAAACAAAAATCTTTACAGAGATGAAATAGAAATGTGCTATGAAAGATCTCTCATATAAACATTAGTATATTCGAAGAGATTCTGCGGGTAATAATTTTCTCAAAATATCAGTTTTTCGACAAAAAAAAATTTAGGATGGAGTCACAGATTGTTACGCGGTCAGGGAACAATCTACAAAGTAGTCAAAACATCTTTGATGCGATTCTTAAACAGCTTCACACATCATTGCCACGCGTTTATCGTATATTTGTGACTTGTTGATTGATGATTCATATCGGATGAGTAAGTAAGCAATGCTTGCTAACTGTGAGACACATATACGCAAAGAAAGAAAAATATGCATCATTTAAAGATACAAAGCCGTTTTTCACATCAAGTCGACAAAGATAACAAGTTGCTTTTGTCAAAGTAAGATGCTTTTGTGAAGCACAATCTAAAAACATGATGAAGTATAGGGAAAAAAATTTGACTTCGTCCATCGGACGGTACATCAATAATGTCTCGTTATAGTATATGAACTACTTTCTCGCTACATTTTTGAAGACGATAATGAAGAAATATATACCAAAATAGATAGAATAGAACGAACTTCCTGTGATTAGGAAGAGAATCTACATCGTAATTCACATTTTAATCTTCCAGAGATTTTGCAAACATTTTTTAGATCGAAATCCATTGCTTAAAAATTGAAGAGACCGTATCTTCTTAAAAAAAATATTTTTTCCGAAAAAAAAAGTCGAAGTTTAGTTCTTACCATAGAAGGATACAGCGAATTTTCCTATCTCACAATATATGTGATATTTTCAAAAACAAGAAAAGCTAAATTTTCGGAGAATATTTTCGTCGTATTATCCTATTTTCTAATAGATAATCATGTTCTTTTTTTTTATTTTTGAGAAGACGGTCTCTTTACTTACATCAACATCGAATGAACATTTTTATTTATTCTAAATAGAATTCTTGGCGCTAGTCTATGCCATCTGTTCCGTGCTTGTAAAATTCCACTAAATCTATTGTGCCTTTGCGATTGTTTTTTCATGATTTGAATGAAAAAAAATCTATGTCTAAATTTATTTACCGTTTTTCTTAGAACATGGTTTTCAATCAGAAAATATAAAATAACTTCCACCTAATTCAAGCTAGAAACAATATTTCTTTTGTTTTAAAGGCCTAAATGCGAGTAAACTTTTTTCCTACCAGATTTTCTATAGTTGACTTCTGTATTGACGAAAATGAGACTTACTGCCGCATAATGACATTCTTTTTGCTTATTTTAACATGTTATGTTTCAAAGTGATCATAAAAAATACGAGGAAACGAATTTCCGAATTCTTTCCGATTAAAAAGTGCCCAAAGGTATTAGCTTTAATTTGAAGCCACACTAAGCTTTGTAACACATGCAGTTAAAATGCCATAAATAGACTATATGTAAGCAGGAAGTTCTCTCTTCTTTGACATATCGGACTGAAATCTTTAGTAGAAGCATTTCTTGTTAGGGTCACTTATTTCTGAAAATCTCAGCCTAAATGGACCATTCTAAGTGGAATGGTCTATTGTGAGAGGCGAGAAAGAGGGTCCTTAGGAACTCAGGTTAATCTTAATTCATAATTGAAGTATGCCTATTATTTTTGTATTAAAATAACTATATATAGTATATTTCTAAATGAAAGAAAAATGTAGACATTTATCAAGAGCTGTTCTCAACACAGTTTAAAATATCATTTATGCTCAAAAAACTTCTTCAATAACTATTTTAAGAACAAAAAAATAGATTTTCATTTTAAATACAATTATAAAAAGTGACAATATTCAGCCTTGAGCTATTTTTATCGAGAAAAAAAATTCATTACTAATACAACATTTTATTAAGATTTTATATAGGCAAAAATGAAAATAAACGTCTATAAAATTGAGATAAACGATTATTACTCAATCATCAAGTTCATTGACTACTGTATTTATGATTTTATTCATTCCTAAATACTGCGTAGTGATCAATTAAAAATTATCTATCAAGTAATTTCAATTTTCTAGTTCTCATTGTATTATTGTTATGAGCATGAGGATATAACTGCCGATGTTGCATTTTATTCTACATTCACATCCTTCTATGAGCAGCTAATAGTTTGGAAGAATTAAAAAACAAACTTCGTCACTCTTCATTTTTTTTTCGCATGTACTTCACATTTCCTCCTTTTTACAGAATGATCGTTACATTAAAGATTATTCTTTTTTTTTAGACCATTTAATGAATAATTTATTTAATAGCATCAAAACCATGCTTGGTTTTAGTGCTGTTCAATCAGGTACTACACAATCTAGTGAACCAAATGTTACTTGGCAACATATATGGTCCTTTAGTGAAACACGGGGTGCTCTCTTTAATTCGTCATTTGTTGCCATTCCCAATGAAATCTTATTACGCATATTTCAATTGTTATCTGTAAGAGACCTATGCAATGTTTCATTGGTTTGTCGATCTTTCAAAATGATCGCCGATCAAGATGAAATATGGAAACCAAAGTGTAATAGTAAGTACTGTTTCTCTTTTTCTTTATTATATTTAGATGTTAATTTTGAAAACTATTGATTAGCATCAACAAAATTACATTCGAAATCATTCAAACAAATTTATATGGATTGGATGCATGGACAATGTTTGCATAATAAAAGACTATGTCGTGTGACTTTATCTATGAGAGCTCCATGTATCCTAATTCCACCACCCTTATTTCCTATTCGACCGACAGGACAACATAATTTTGAATATATTGGTGGATTCAATCAGCATCCAAATTCGTCATCAACCATGTGAGATTAAAGTTTCTTTTTTGGCGCAAGTATTTTGTTGAACTATCTAATCGGCAAATTGGCTATATTAATATTTATTTGATATTCCTCATAAAAATCATGAAAGTAAAAGAATTTTTCTGTGTTTCATACGTGAAATATGCTCTTCACTAATATATACTTTTTCAAAGATCATAGAGGATGCTCCGTTTTTGGCTATACTAGATACAAACAAGAATAGATAACATATTACTACACTTACCTTTATTCAGCTCATCATATTTATGAAAGACGATCTAAAACGGAATGTTGAAGTGTATGAGATAGAAATGTGAACATCCCTCGCCTCCGCAGATGGTGACACACGTTATTGATATACAATGAAAGGCTATATATCACTAGCATTTCATTAAATTTTACCAACTATTTTCATAGTGCAGTTCTCGACGGCTCAATAAAGGTTGATCAAGCAATGTGTCGTAAAATAGACCAAATCAAACAATATCCATATGATTAGCAACAACAACTACGTGTTTTACGTTTTAATCTCACAGAGGATGCGCTAGCAACTGTTTGTCTAACTAAAGAAGCTTTTCATATTACAGCATGTAAAGTAGGTCAAAACATCAATTTTGATTATGCATTGATTCTAATATAAAAACAAAAAGTTCTAATTATTGAATGATGGTGTTTTTATTCTACTTTCAGGACAATTAAACTATCGGTCAACATTGATGATACAGCTCCTGAACTTATAAAACTATTAGAAAAAGTATCTAAATTTCGAGAACAATGGAAGGAATCATATATTTTAAAACAAATGATAATGAGATATTATCGTTTTATGCAATTGAAAGCATCTCATCCAACACATCTTCTATTAATTCCTACTTTGGATATTGAAATTGTTTGGCAAACTCATTTACTTCGGCCTGAAATCTATCAAGCTGATTGTATTCGTTTGTTTCGTCGAGTAGTTGATCATAAATTATTGGCTAATGATATTGAAGATTTTTTGAAAGAGCAAGCATTTCGAGATACTTGCCAATTATATGAACAAAGATTCGGCGAAAAATATGGTCCATTATTACCAATCGATGCCATAAATCAAGTACCATCAAATGCTTCTCGTTTTATTNAAGTTTTCTTTTAGTTTATTTAATTTCATAATATCTGTTTTATTAATATAATGCAATAGAACTTCAATATCTTTTAGTTGTATAGCTATTTCTTTTTGAATCATATCAAGAAACATTTCGTCTGATGAGATATGATGTGAAGCATGTTCAGACCCACGATATCTACACTTGATTTGACCATTCATATGATAATCACTAAGGTCAATAGATACCTATTCTATTCTTAAACATCTTCTTCTTATCTAAATAGTCATTTTTTAACTCAAAAAAGAAAAATCATGTCGAGTTTTGATGATAATGATCGCTACTGTGGTATATATCGAACAAACGATCCAATAAATAACTTTAAAAGTCGGTATCATGAACATAAGAGTGTGGGTGTGGGTGTGGATGTTCGCATGGTTGTTAAACAAAGACAGACACCCACACCCACCCAAACCACACCCCACACCCACACCCACACCCACACCCACACCCACACCCACACCCACCCCCACCCACACCCACACCCACACCCACACCCACACCCACACCCAATTCAAAGTTGAACGTCGAGCATTAATGCCTCAATTTGAGGATCCAGATTATAAATAGTTGCAAATTGCTGTAGATAGTACACAATTTGTACAAAATCAAGTGATTGCTAAGCTATGTAATTGTCCAATAGGACTCAAATTTGATCAATATATAGAATTCGATTTATTTCGATCAGGACATCATTTGCAATGGCTGAATCTCTTGTCAGTTTTAAAAATGGACTCATTATCTCTTTCTGAAAAAAAGTGTTGTTATACTTATTATGCATTCTATATTACAGTATGGCCCGTTAACAGCAGAACAATAAATCTTTGATTCTTGGTGTTTCGAAACACATGAGCAGTTATTGGATGATGAGTTTGTTAATGAATTTATTATAAAATTAAATTTGGTCTTTAGATGAGCATCGATCAAATTGACAAAATGAACTAGTATGCATGGTTATTACGATGATTACTATGAGAATTCTAACGATTTCCGATTTAACAATAGACATTCGAGTTACGAAGTTAGTTATGAAATGTCGTGAAATTGGTCAAGAATGGATTAATCTTATTTCGAATACTATACAAGACCTATCGTCTTCAACTTTGAATGAAATAAGTAAACTTCGTCTTAAATTGGTAAATATTGCTATTTCATGCATATTAACATTTTCAACCCATCAAGCTCGATTAAGTTATTTATTATCATCGAATGAATATATTATATACTTATTCAAAGCTGTCACTACTATTCATGATAACGCTACTTTAAACACTAATCAATTAAACATGAATTCTTGTATATAAAAAAAAATGATGAAATTCTGTAAACGAACATTAGTCACAATACAACCAAAAGTAACTCAACTTCTGCAAAAGATATTCTATCAAAGTTTAAATGAATTCGCTGCAATTTATCGGGCTGTTATTCTAAACAATCGAGGGTGTAGGTGGTGTGTGTAATGAGAACATAACCACATACACACACATCCACACCCTCCCATCTTTTGTCTGCGTTATTTTTAGATGAAATGTTTCCCTATTATGTTCTGTTTCAGCACAGAACTCTGTTTGATAAGTGTGGCTGTTGGATGTGGCTTTAGCTTTGTTATTGTGCACTCGTGCTTAAAAGTGTCAATCGGGCATCCACACTCCATATCCTCACTCTGGTTTGCAAATCAACTTCTACGTCTTAGTATAGAAAGTATCTCCTTAGCTGTGTGGTCTCTTGAAATACCCTATACATGGATTGTTAGTCTACGCGTGAAAAACAAATTGTCTGAAATACTGTTCCAATACAAAATTTTACAAACAAGTAAAAGCTGCGTTACAAAATATTATTTAAATATGATATGCATTCTTTATATATTCAGTGCATTAGAATGCATATTTTTTTCAATAACAATACGCATTTCTTCAAATTAGAACACAACATGAAAATAACGTTTCATTGTCTTTAGTTTCTATGTATTTGTATGCATCTATTTGTCATGTGTCAAAACGCTTGTTTTTTAGCTTCATTTTACGGAAACATGATTTCTTTTGGAAACGCATTGAAACGCTTAGTAATGTGTCAAAATGCTTTTCTTTTTATTTTATGTTTTATTTATAAAACTGTTGTTAATATTGCCAGCGTGTATATAAAGTACTTAGAACGAAAAATAACTACACTCATAATTCATATTAGTTTTACAATGTTGCGCAATATTTCCAATAAATAATTCAGTCGTGAGTTTATGCTATTAATCTGGATTAATTTTCTCTGATGAATACAAAAGAATTTTCGTTATTGTAGGATTCAATTACCAGGACTTTTGTATGTGATGAGATATGCAGCATATGCTTGATCATCATGGTAAGTCACAAAGATATGATTGTTATCTGTTGTCGAATCATAACCAGCTGGTGGAATTCTCATGTTTTTGTTGCCTGGTGCAGCTTTACCGACAAGTACTTTTGCCAAAAACATACAACGTCGATGAGTCGTTGGACTCACAGAGGTGTAGTCATGACTGTATGAAGCATTGGTTGAAAAATATACACCAACTCCGTATGCAACTCCTGCAAACTAATAAGTTTAGATATATATAAAAGAAGAAATTTGGTTTACTTACCGTTCACACCGGCAAAAGATCGATTAAAACAAGTATGGATAATCATGTCGGCTGACGACTCTGGGCACCCATGAAAGAGTAATCTTTCAGTGTCTTTCTGTTGTGAAAAATGCCGGAAAGCTCTATAGGCCATGTACCATCTTTGATTTTGAATTCGTTCTATTTGAATTTCGATGTATTTTCCAGACATCTTCTGATTGAATTGCTCTATTACTTTTATATATTCTTCGTCTTTCGCATCTAATACACAACGTAGAACATTATCGGACTGAGTCGTCCAATTACGTGGTATCTGAAAATCTCTTCGAATAACTCGACGCTGTCGATTTCCGCATATCTCAATTTTTTCTTTCAATTTTATTTCACACTCTTCATTGTTATCATTTCTAAAAGTTACCTATAGAATAGAATATGAATTGTTGATCAGTAAGTGACTAGTTAATACAAACCACTTCGTTGTTAAGCTCGAGTGCCGTTTCAAACAATGCATTTAATTTCAGTGAATATTTTTCAAAAGTATTATTTTCTATTTCCAATAACCAGACGGCAACTCGAGCATAAGATGCAATGCGTGCTTCTTCAGCTTTAACACTTTTCAATCGATAAAATTCTATTTGTGCTTCCTTGACTTCTTCTTTAGGTCCTAAAAGTTTTAATTTGTCATTTAATCGATTAACTTCAGGTAGAATTTGTCTTTCCAAACAAAATTTATAGAAAGAATCAATCGTTTTCTGATTCCAAGTATAGAATGGAAATTCATCACATTCTACTGTGAGAACACATTTATTGACGTGGTTTTGGATAAGTTTCCAAGATTCTTTTATGTCTTGTTCTAATCCTGTTAATGTCATTTGAACGACTATAGTCGAAAGAGAAGGTATTGGATTGAATGATCTAATAGAGTGGATATTAGAAAATGCTTACTTGAGTGCGGATATATGAAATTTGTCGGATTATTGACTGATTTTTTTTGTCGTAATTCAGCTAATTTGAAACAAAATGCTTTATAATTTTCAGTCTTCTCCGGAAGAAGTACAATCAATATTTGTAGATTATAATTTGCATATATCTGAGTTTCATCAAGTATTATTTCAGCTATCGTAGAAGGATCGTAATTCAATTCGCCACAACCAAGAGCTGGAAATGCTAGAGAAGTTCTTCCTGTATTTACTGTATGATGAATAGCAGTTTGAAAAAATTTTTGTATTGATCGACGTAAAGTTATATCATCGAGTTTTTGCGTTGTCCAAGGTAGAAAAAAGAGCTTCTGACAAAATAAATTTCCACCTACTGTTTCATAACCTTCACTCATAATTTTGCCGGTTTGAGTAGCTGCATTCACTTCGTCTGCTACAGCCTTGCCAGCCTTTTTACAGATATCATTCATAAGATGCTGTGACGTTGAACAAACAACAACTATGTCGACTGTTTGTGTGGCAAGATCACCAATTCGAATATCAATCGACATAGCAGCCGGAACAACTTCTGCATTCTCTTTACTTAAGCATGAAACTGGAAATGTATAACTTGTATTCGTTGAGTCAATTTTCGTTTGTACAAGACAATTGTGAGCTAAGGCTACCTCAATGAGCTGTTGTTCTTCAGCTGCAGCTACGGAACTAAAGCAAATCTCTTTGATAGTAAATTGTGTTCGTTGACAATTGGCAGCAAGATTTTGTAGCAACTCTTTAATGCTGTCATGAAACTTCTTCGGACTAATAAAATATCCATCTTTAATGCACTCAAATATTCTTACATCTTCATGTTGTTCTTCTAATTGTTTCAATGTATTTTGATGAATGCAAAGCAAAAACTCGATCTAAAACAATATATTTTTAATGATAAAATTGACACATGTGTCATGATGGGAGCATTATATCTTTCACTAATGGTGGAGCCAGGATTCGGTGCATATGTTTTTCAAAATCAGTCAAAATACTTATAAATCCTAGGCAATCATATTCTTCCACTGAAGTTCACAAATCCTCCAATCGAGTATTCCACAATCTTTTTACGTGAGACTGCTCTCATCCATTTCATTGTACTAAATATAATTTTTTCTGAGATACTTGTGTAAAAAAGATTAAATCTCTAATGAGTTAGAAGTCCAATAATTACCAATTTAATTCACACACCTATGATTGATTTTTAATGATATACAGAAACTTCAAATTTAATAAAATTTTTGCATAATTTGTGATAGAATAGATTACAATTTAAGAACTAGGTGCGACTAATTTGGTGTATTTCCCTTTTTAGTAAACGATTGGTGGTCGAGTGCAGTTGCGCTTTGCCGGTTCTTGACTATCCCACTATTTTTAATAACTAGATCTGTTTTATTCGAAAGAGAGAACTCGAATGACTACCAACGTATAGAGTAATTTGCAAGAGTATACAAAAGTTCTGAGGGAAGAAGATGTTCTGCTCTTCTATTCTACTCGATCCTTACGTCACCTGTGTCCCTCCGTCGTTGTCTCGTCTCATCCTGAGTCTAACTAATTATGTTTACAAACTTATCAAGCATCTATGAGATATTTAGTTGTATAGTTACATCTATGTTTCCAATCTGATATAGAAAAAAATATGCATGTTAATATTACAGTACCAAAAGAGTATAATTCAATCGCTGGCAACTTTGACATTTGTTACCATCAATGAAACGCAGAAAGAAATCAATGTGAATGGCTGTACTACGTACATTAGATTTCCTCAGGTTGATAACTTCAGCTGACACCAAAAACTTGACTGTTGATGAAGCTGAATTTTTTATACTACTAATTACACGCAATATTCTACACTAAGATGCAATTGTTTGTATTGTATATACATATATATACTTGTATTCTTATGTCTTTTGTCTGTTCATTTACCATTCAGTTTTGGAATAATAAGTGAACATATATATGCATATCTATCATTATCATCTTAATTTCCAAATTTGTGTGTGAAAAATAAATGTTATCAATGAAAGTCTCAAAAACCGACTTAGAAACACCCGCGTCAGACTGAGGATTTTATAGTGTTAGATATTATATTAAGAGTGCTTGACGTCGTTGTTTTTCGACGTTATCAATACTTTGTGGGAACAAAAGATTTTTTCCCATTCCGTCCATTATTTTTAGTATACAAACGAAGTATGTCCACTTATCTAAACATTTTTCCTAGGTCATCGTCACACTCTTTCAATATATGTATCGAACAAAATTATCATCCGATTTATTCACAAGCCAAAATAAAAACAAAAAAAGAATCAGAGTATGATTAAAAATTTGCTTGACTGCATATGGATTTTTTAGTGTTATGAAGTTATCAAGAAAAACATCTTCCAATTCAAATTCAATTCCGTATTTCTTCTTCTTGTTTCGTTCTCTGAAGTTCAGTGGAATCTTCAAATAGTCTCTTCTCTTTCCTCACTACTCTCATTCTTATTAGGCTTGATATTTGTGATATCCCACGCCTTGCTCTTGCTTCTTATCTTTTATGTTACGCATCATGCTTACCAGATGCAAAACTCAAAAATACCTAAAGAATCCGAAAAGATTTTCAAGGGTCATTTCTATTTAAAGTTTAAATGAAACAAAAGAGAATACCCATCAAAACTTAATTCAATTAACGAGCAAGAAATTTATCAATTATCCACTGCACTGGTAATTGACACACTGTTTTATACATGAGAAAGAATGAATTTAAACGGAATTTTCATTATCATTTCTTTGCTTCTCTTATAAGAAAACATGAATGTCATTAGTCTTCTGAGTAGACCAACACCAGGAAACACTAACCCTTTACCTATTCTCTAATGATTATTTTAGAATTTTATACCTATATATCTGTTTTGTTTATCTATGTGTAAGAGTTTAGATTGGAAGCAAATAAAAGTGAGAAAAATGGTACAAGCAGCTATAGTATAGATCATTGTTTTTTATTGATGAATTCTCAAGGTCTTGAAACTAGAGAGCTATCGATCAATGTTTCATACATTCAGATGCACAACACTCTACTTGTTACTCATCATATAATACTTGGACCACCTATTAAAACTGCATTTTAAAATTGATAATTATGGACAGTGATGAACCCTTCTCAATAATAAATGTTCTGTTATATTACATCCTTATTTAACCTGAGCTCGTTTGAAGGATTTCGTTTCATTATTAAGACATACTTGGAAATGTTTCAAGTCATGTTTTCCTTGAACTATACAATACATTTTTTTAATTTTCTTATATTCATTCGTGACATCTTTCACCACATTGGCTAAACCAAAAACTAATACATGATCTGCTTGTCTGATTAATAGTATAGCATCTTGATAAAAAGGTTGCACAGCAAATTCTTCGAGTTTCTGCAAGTACGTATTGGTTTGTATATCATCAAAGTCTTTCGAGACCATTATAGTCGCTAACATACATTTTTTATGAATCATGTCAGTAATAACTGTTTCTGTAGTGCACAAAGACGTTAGAGAAGTCATCAGTGCATTGAAATAATAAATGATCAGTCCAGTACTTTCAGATGTTTCACAGTAACATATAATGTTCTCCTGATCGGCATAGGTTTGAATAATATGAATAGCTTGCGGTTTACAAACCCAAAAGCCTAGCAAATATTTATGAAAAAATATCAAAAATACAAATATTTCAAACGGATGATACCTATATCTTTGCTGAAGATTTTCTTTTGAAAGCACGATGTGAGCAACATTTCGAGTGCATCGTAAGCTCGTGTTACTTGCAACATTTGAGAACCAGAGATTATAATAGTATAGGCCACGTTCTCATCATTGGAATCATTACTACCTTCCATTATTTGAATATTTATAGGGAATTGTTCTACTAATGCATATTTAAGATTTTGGCCAAATTCATGTTTTCGAAACATCTTCGAGCATTCTTTATTCTTCAAAACTTTATAAAATTGAGTTCGCAATCGAGTTCCTTCTGCCATTGAATATTTTAAGTTTCTAAAATTAATATTTTATTATAAGTTAGTTGTCAAAACTTTTACTATACATATTTCTCTTACTCAGAGCTAGCAAAAAGGGGTTTTTGAGCATTGTTCAAACTTCGTGTGAAATCGATCGAATTCCTTAGAGACACAGCTGGCATTGTGTTGCTCAAATCCTAGATATGAATCGTCATACAACAGCAGGCGCCAATATGAATAAACTTACCATGGAATTTTTCGATGATTCCTTAGGTTTAAAGAGATGATCCTGTAAAAAAATTGAATAAAGTACTGGTTCTTACTTTGATCAGTTGGTAAATACATCAAAATCTCTCTATAGTGGACAGCCACGAGACCTTGTTGAAGTGTCCACTTTTGATAGATTTTCAATTTTTTCAATGTAGTCAGACATGCACTTGTTAAAATGTTTTATGTAATAATCTATTAACTGCTTTTCCAATTTATTTCATGAGAACTGTTTTTCTAATTGTTTTTCAAAGAATTAATTTTCGTGTATAACTTACTTTAAAAAAAATGTTTCTTGAATTCTCAATCTGGTCTGAAGAAACCACTTACACAACTTTCGGCAGGTGCTTTTTGGATTAAGATCGGTCATCTCCGATTTAAGCTGGATAATTAGTCTACTGGATTCAGGCTATCTTTTCGATGCAAATGAATATTATTTTTCATGGCATACTGGGAACTTCACATGGTTTTTGAGATATCTACTCTGTTCTCTCCTCGTCCGTAATGTCTTCAATGCTTTCAGTTTCATCGAACGTTGAAGATTTCAATATAGAGATCACTATAATCGTTTTTGATAAGTCATATCTTATTTCAGATCGTCAGTATATGTCAATTGATGAGTAGTTAGAAAAAGAAAAATATTTTTCTGTCTATTTTCGTAATTCATTCTATTTTCTTTCGTATTTTTTAAAAAATTCCACTCTGTAGAGAGATCCTTTTACTCGTCATGCTGATAAAACCAATATCCACATACACATTCAGTTTTAACTGTATGAAAAAACTCTAATGAACTTGCAATAGTGTTCACTATGAAGAATTCTTTTGCTCCAGAAGAAACCAAAAAGTGTTCACAGTGGGGAGCTGCAAGTTAGTCTCGGAATTCGTCCCACGAGACCAATGTCGGGATCGAAAATAGCACTATTTTTGTCACTAATCCCTGAAATTTTTTTTGAATGAAAAACAGGATTGAGTAGTCTTTTCATGTTGATTGATGATCAACAATTATTTTATTATTTCGTAAAAGAATCAAATAACGATGTTGTCAAGTATCTATTAAAACAAACAAGTTTATAATATATAAACATAGATAGGTATAATAGACTGTTTCTACGATTTATAACAGCAGAATCCAAAATATATGCATGGCATGGTGGACATTTATGTGCGAGTGCGACACAGCCGTTGGTTTCCTGAAAATATTCTTAATTTGTGCTATAAAAAAGCGGGACCGGGAACAAAAAGCTTGGTCCCGTAGTTGCCTAGGTCACAGCTCACAATGAGAAGTGGTCTATATTTTATTCGTCTTCAATCAATTCATCATTCTTTGATTGAAGGAGACACAAAACTGGCACACAAGTTTGATGTCATTTTTGAGTATAAAACTATGTAACAACACTACCTTGCTAGCAATCTAGCGTCGGAGATAGAAAAAGATATCTTTTCACCCAAGTTTACATAAATATGTTTCTTTTTTTTCTCGAAAGTCGGTACTGAGAGGAAATTTATCTAAGATATTCAACATTTTTTAGAATCTTCTTATAATAATCTTATTTGATGCACTTATTGTTTCGAAAATTCTAATATATATTCAAAATAAACAAGTGCAACTTTGAACTCGACATGTACCGACTCGCACTTGTCCCAATCTATCAAGGTCTCACTGCTTAAGGTTTTACCCAGAACGAACATTACGATGATGAGATACAACCATTTACAGCCGTATTTGATAGCATATATTACTGTTTTATACTGTTTTCAATCGTAAATCGCCGTCAATTGCCTTTTTGGTATGCGCATAGTATTACGACCGTATTTCGCCATGTCGTAAACGGCTAATACCGGTCGTAGTACGGTTCGAAAATAGGGTATCTGACCTTTTATCCTCGTATGTGTTTCACTTGGGTATTTTCCATTTTCAGAAATATGTGGTTTTCACACTTCACTTGTGTAAATAAGCCGTGCTATTAAGCTTTCCTAATCAGCTACTATAGAATCGCGTGTACATACGTATTTGCTTTTTTTTGTTTCTTTTCTCCATTTCTATCAACCATGTTTTCTTAAATTGTGAGCACGTGGATATAACTCAATTATATATGACTAATAGTAAGGAGTCTGACTATGACGATTAGTTATTTGATTGATTGTTATTGAGAATATAATATTTGATCGGTAAAATAAATGAAACGGTCAGTAAACAAAAATATTGAAGGGATCAATATATATTGCTTGGTCAGTTTTAAAGATATCAGTTAATAATTATGAAGTGGTCAGTTCGTTATGTGTAAGTGGCAATAGAAAAATATAGCTAATGATAGGAAAAAGAGAAATTCGGTGAGTAAAAAATATTTCTTTGATCAGTAGAAAAATGTCTTTTCGTCAGTATAAAGTAGACTTTGGCTCAAGAAATAGACATTTATAGAAATTCTCACAAAAAAAAAATAACCAGAACCTTGCTGAGACATTAGATAAGAAATTTATGGATGTGCGTCTGTAATGGGCCTGGATGAATATTTTGATTGATAACAACATGTGCACCAAACTCCTTTATTTTCAGTTTTTGCAAGATATTTTTCAATAATTTCTTCATCTGATGATGTATCGCTGTCATATTGAGCGACTTTTATTGTTTTCATTGGTGAGTCTATGATTTTATTTTCTACATGACGATGGTTTATTACAAAAACTCGCGACTTTATATAGTTATGACATAGCATTCGGATGTGGCAATATTCAATCATGTTATAAAAAAAAACCAACAAAGGGAAAATTCGATTGCTGAATTAAACGAGAAAAATTCCAAATAGAAAAGGAACAAGTGTGCTTTTAGACAGATATCAGGGCCGCAGAACGAAAGCAGATAACGTGCCATGCATATTTTCTTCTGACATAGTAAAAAAAGAAGAAAGAAACTGAGATGAATGGTACTATGACACATTTCAATTTCTGCAGTTCCTTCTTAATTTTATTTGCTGCGAATAAATTTTATCCACTGACCATTTAATTCAATTACGAATCAGTTTCATTAATACAGTACGGTGCATAATTATAAGACCGCTTGTTTTACTAATAAGATAAATCAAACGAATACGATACTTAGTCAATTAATGCATGTATAAAATTTTCATGCACATATTTGTTGACCTTCATGTATATATAGAATTATGTGAATTTCTTTGTTGCATAAACATAAGACTACGTGGCATGTTTCGCGCAATACTTTTATTCTAAGCGACTTTTTGTTTAAACGAACGTATTAAATCAACATTTAGATGTAAATAAAGAAATGCCCAAAGTAGTACAACTTACCGAAGATGAGAAAAGATGCATTCTTGACTTGCACAAGAAAAACTATTCGTATCGAGAAATCTCAAGGAAAATCAATCGATTCATAACCGCGGTAACGAATTTTTTGAAAGACCCGCTCAAATACGGCTAGAGGAAACGAACTGGTCGTAGACGAAAAGTTGACGAGCACACGAAACGACTTATTTTGAGAACTGCTAGCAACAAATCAGTGTCTTCTGCAGAAATTATTCAAGATTTAAGTCTAAAACAGTCCAGATGGACAATCAATCAAGTTATAAAAAGGTCAAGCATCTTTAAAAAAAGGAAAAAGAAACAGTCTCCACATTTAACAAAGTCGCACAGAGATTCAAGATTAAAGTGGACGAAAAAACATATGACCTGGCATGAAGAGGGGGAAATAGTCATATGGTTTGATGAAAAAAATTTCAGTTTAGATGGTTCTGACGGTTTTTCTTATAAGTGGCATGATGTTCGCAAAGAAGAAGACATTTTTTCAACTCCTACTCAAAGTGATGGAAGTGCAATGATTTGGGAATCTTTGTTTGTAGTGGTAAAAATTCAATATGTTTCGTAGACGGACGGATGAATTTGAATGGAAGTCGAGAGGTACTAAAAACTCATTTAGTTGATATTGGTATTAGTATTGGTGGGACTGAGTAAATTTTTCAACAAGATAAAACGCTGGTCCATTGGTCTAAGGTCAGTCTCACTTGGTTCAAGTGGCAAAAAGTCGATGTTTTATCCTGGTCATCATTATCATCTTATTTAAATCCTATTGAAAACTTCTGGGGAATACTAGCAAGGAAGATCTATGGCGAAAGAAAACAACTCACAACAAAAGAGCAGTTAAAAGCTGCCATACTAAAATGGGACGGAATAAGCATTCGATCAGATTTGAACTCTGGTCAAATCAATGCCAGAAAAGAATATTTGAAGTTATTAAGCTAAATGGAACGAAGAAAAAATACTGATCGTCCTTTTTGTTTCATCTTTTATTTTTCTTTTGATGTGTTTTTATATATATGGACCATTGAAATTTATGAAAATTCCAAAACTAATGAAAAAGACGCAATAAATCTCCGAAAGTTTACCATTTTGATAGTGCTGCTATATTACCTCTAATTTTAAAGACTAAGCTTTATCTGATGATCTCAAGCTTAAAAACTAGTGGTCTCATAATTATGCACTGTACTGTAACTGGGCATTTCATTTGTTCACTGATCAATTATTGCTTTACTGACCACTCAATAAATTTAATGATTTTTCGAATTTTTTCATTTACTTAGCATTTCATTTATTCTATCGACCGCTTGATTGGTAGCCATTGTTATTATTTCTATTTGCATGAGAAATTAAGTAGCAAATTATTTTTCATAAATCTTAAATTTTTACTGAAATATGACGAATAAACATACTGAATAAGTGTAAAAGTTCTTTCAAAAATTAAAAATAGATACTTTTTGGATTTTAATTGTTTCTAACTCATATTTTCATTCAAAACTCAATGCAACAAATGATATTTTTTACCAATGAAAATCTTAAGTCGTATAATTCTTAAATAAGACATTGTCTATAAAGAAGTTCATGTTGATTTTTGCCTTTCTTTTCTTTACTGAATGGTGATAGTTTTTTTTTTTACGTAAATATTCAGTATTGTTTTTCTAATGTGCACGTGCGTAGTTTCATTCTTTTTTATCAACGAACAGGTTGAAAATAAAACTTCTAGTGCTTGCTTAAGATGAGAATGAAGTATACTTTAAAAATAAAACATAAAGAACAAAAATAAAACTGCTTCCTATTAAAAAGAAAGTGTTTATTAGGAAATAGAGACGCGCTACACCATAGGATTGATCTATTTCTATTAAATAATTCAGCCTATAAAACAAACAAGCATATTTTCGACGCATGAAAGTAAAAAAAGAGCAATCATCTCACTAGTTGTTTAAAAGCTTTGAGGTTGCTAATAATGAATATAAATTTATTTTTTAATAGACATGGAAAAGACTTCATTCAATGGCTAACTAAATGTATAAAATAATCCATATTAATATTTATTGGTGAAACAATATTTGTTGATCAAAGTCATTACTTCTTGGACAAGAAATAGTTTCATAAAATTTTTTGTACGTGTATATACTTATATTCACATAAGAAGATAACTTACACAAGTTGCATTCATCGATATTTCAGAGGTGTTTGTTGTTGTATCTTCTCTGTCTTCATCATTAAGGTAGTCTGTTTTGGAAGATGAGTTTTCAAAAATCCAGTCGGTATTCTATCTTATACGAAACAAATTACCACATTGTAAAATTCTACTAGCAGAATACTCACATTAATACCATCCACTTTATTCGTGTTTTTCAGCTCTTGTTTTTTTGCTAAACGAGCAGTAGCTATCTATTAAAAATATAGCTGAATAAATATAATGTTAGTTGAGCACGTGCAAATGACTTACCGTCTCGATTGCAGACACGCCTTCCAAATTGATATTTGATATAATTTTATTACTCGTTGATTCGCTTGGTCGTGTACGAAATGGAGTGATAGGGCGGGACCAATTTTCCATACTCTCTATTTTTACATTCGTTGCCTGAAAGAAGACGATGTATGATTGTTAGAAACGAAATTGAAAAAACTACACGAATCATGTTTGATTTCTCTATGTTTTCGACTATGAAGAACGATTCAATAGTCTTCATGTTATCAGTTACAGGATTTTATCACGACTAAGATATTAATTGTGCGAGCATTTCACAAAAGTGCGTTTTCACTTTGATGTTCCGTTCTACTAAGGTCAGTTCTGTTAAACAAACTTTCAATCTAGTTTTCTGAAAATCTTTCCATTTTGATCAGTTTTTCATACAATTTCATTTGCCTGAATACTACATTAACTATAACATAGAGACCATGTCGGAAGTACACGTAGCCACGAAACGAGCCTTCTCTTAGTGAATTTTAGTACAGTTTTCTAATGATTTCAGTGAAAATCATAACAATTTATGTACTATATAAGTAAAATTGCAACTGCATTCTAAATTTATAATAACGATGGATGAATTTTTGTAGATGTCACTATTATAACTTGTCAACCAATCATTGTATTCAACAAGGCAACTCAGCTTGTGATGTCGATTATTTGCCTATTAGTCTACCGACAAATCGAGAAATAAAACCTATCAATATCAAATGGCGAATACACTTATGTACTTAGTGGCGCTAATCTCTGACATACCCCGATCACTTTTTCAAAAGAACGACTTAAGAGAGCGTCCGCGAGACCACCATCCAAAATGATAGGAGTAAGCTGCCGAAAAAATTTAATTTTTTCAATTTAGATAGCTAGTTTGAAAGAGCATTAAAAGTTAGATAGAAAACCAATTTTTTACGAATTTTGAATGATGTCTTCTCATATTTTGCCGACCCGACTTTTTCGACCCCCCCCCCCATTTTACTTTCTCTAAGTTCACGAGATTTGCTTCGCATTCATTTATAAAATTTTCGATCACAAAAATTTTATCGAATCCTTTATCAAGTTATACTAATAGATAGAGCAGAAGATGCTCTACAACACTACGTATTTAATATAAATTATTGTCATCATTCTCTCGCTGTGTACGTAGTGATTGGAGGCTTTCCTTTCATTCTTTCACTCTTACTATCGTTTGTTTGTTTGTTTGTTTCTTCTCTGTAACAAGGGAAAAGGCAAATAAAGGCCTTTTTTGTCTTCTTTTACTTCTTTTGTTAAAGTGAGTTCGAGTATGAGCTCTCGAATTCATAAAAGAAGAAATACTGTTCTCAATGAACACCAAATTGATACTATTGATAACAATGTGTTAGTAGTTGATGATATTAACGAAAATACAAATGATATACGTCATGAATCAACAGCAATAGTAGGTGTAACAGCAAGTACACGGTTACACAAAGGACAACCAACTCAAATTCTTGAACATAATGGACAACTTTTGTTCCCTTACTGGAAGATTATCCTTTACAAAATAGATTAAGTAAACAAGTTTATAAAGATGTTTATTATGTAAACATGATGAATCATCGTACAGATAATAAAATATACGATTTACATATGAATGAAGAAATAACCAGTAGTTACTTCCATCTTCCGGAAACAACATCGTCCACTCCTAAAAGAACCTGTGATCAACTTAATAAATCACAGGAAAAAAGAAAAAATAGCAGAAAAAATGAAGTACATTCTATGTATTCAAGAGCAACATCAACAAATATTCAAAATTCTCCAACAACAATAAAACTGCTTGCTGGTAAAAATTACTCAATTCCAATTGATCAACTAAGAAGAGCAGTTGGAAATAATCTTCCATGTTTTTTTATTGAATTTGACAAAAATGTTGCTCCACGTGATCTCCCATCAGCAATTATAGCATGTGATCTTATTCAGGAGCATTTTATTAAAAACAAGATTATTATAAATGGTTTTTCTGTTGCTGTATTTATAGGTCATCGTTTGAAATTGGGAGTAAACAATATGGAAGATTATTCAAAACTTGTACTTTCGGATAAATGGCCAACATTAATCAATGGAAAAAAAAACCCGATCATTAAACCAAAATTCGTTCCGGAATGTTTTACACTTGTATTGCGGTACATTCCAAAATCATTTTCTACTCAAACTGTATCTGAAGAAATTAAACGATCAATAAGTTCAGCGGACAACATTAAACAAATTATTTATTCATATAATCTTACTACAAATGACTTCCGTTTTACAGTATCCGACCTGACAGAATATAAAGGAGCGTTAAAACTCGGTCGAATATCAATTGGTAATCGTCTCCATCCTGTTACAGTATATCAACCTGCAAAAAAGATGACTTTTTGTACTAATTGCTGGTTAATTGGTCATACACGTGCAACATGTTTGGTGCGGGAACGCAAATGTCGTATTTGTTTAAGAGCCATTCCACGTAACCCACGACCGACTCTGCTCAATCGATGTCGTCAGATCTTGCTCAATTTAATATATGCTATAGAGGGAAGTATTCTAAGAATTTTGACGCAAGCCGTTTCGAAAAATATTGATCCTTCGATTTTTTATGAGCATTTTACTAAAAGCTCTAAAAACGACCCATCCCAAAAATGGGGGTCTTGATGCAATGATATCTCATGAATAGCTCAACAGATTGAGCTGATATTTTTTGTAGATATATATATCAGTGAGTTCTATTAGCGAAAAACATTTTATTAAGAAATATTGAACCATTAGGATTTTATCAACCACACAAAATACGAAAAAATCCTGATTTTTGGTAACTTTTGTGTTTCATAACTTTTGATTGGAGTGACATAGAAGTCTGAAATTTGCAGCATCGATAGAGCACTGCAAGATATATGTATCCTAAAATTTTCAGCCATTTATATGGTTCCGTTCACTCAGGGGAGTCCTCTGAAAAACCGGTTTTTGGCAAAAACGAGGCTTTTCTAGTTTCTAGTTCTCCCAAGAAATGGATCGCCTGGGAAGTTGGCATTTAGAAGTTTGAAGTACTCTCTTAGGGCTACAAGCCCATAAAAAAATTCGCCTGGGATCTCTAGAAATGGCTTGCACCGGAGGACATCTTTGGGAGGTGTATCTAAGATGGTAGGCCTTTTTTTGAGATAGGGTATGTAAACCTCGATCCCGCTTGTTCGAGACAAGATAGTCAGATCTTGCTCAATTTAATATATGTCATAGAAGGAAGCATTCTGAGAATTTTCGCGCAAGCCATTTCGAAAAATATTGATCTGCCAATTTTTTA